AGCTTAATGAGGAAGGCACGTCAGAAGCCAAAGCAGGCAGAAAGCTTGGCCTCCTTGCCAGTTAGCTAAGCTATGAATGCCAAGGAAAGTTCTTGAAGAAAATGGAAAGTGTCACTTCAATGAACACAGGAATGATAAGGAAGTGAAGCAGTCTTATTCCTGATATGGAGAAAGTGTGACTGTTCTGGATAAAGGATCAAATCATAAAGAGGAGAAGGGACAGGTGGAGGGAGGGAAAGGGAGAGGAAGGGAGGGAGGGGGGAGAGAGAGAAGGAGAGGGAGAGAGAGAGAAGAAGAGGGAGGAAGAGGGGGAGAGAGAGAGAGAGAGAGAGAGAGAGAGAGAGAGAGAGAGAGCTCAGACAGCTGCAGTGCACCCTGGCATGCATAAAGACCTGAGCTGGATCCCAGGTACCACTTGGTACCCAGAACCAAGAGGCCAGAGCAGCACCACATTGCCAGGTTTAAGCACTGGGCTGAGAGTGAGCCAAGTGCTCCAGGGAGTGCTCCAGAGCCCCGTGAGCGCTGCTTTGGAACCTCCCCACACTCAAATAAAAAGACCAAACCAGCCATAATATTCCCATCAGCTAAAGTCAAATGAAAAGCAAGGACCTAATTCTGTCTAAGTTTGGGAAAACACAGTAAGGAAGGAGCAAAAAAAAGCTGGATTTTTGCAGGGGTGGGTTCATGAGATTTCAGAAAAGAAACCATCTCGAATGCATCTGAGTTTAAGGTAAGGCAGCAAATGCTAAGTGAGAAGCTGTAACCAGAGATCCAGAATGTCTTGACAAGATCACCAATGAAGTCACCTGCACCGAAGGAAAGATTTTCAATGGAAAGACAGCTTTCTGTTGGGCAAAGATACCACCTATTAGCTAGAGAGGAGAAATTCATGCTTGGCTCCAAAACTTCAAAGGACAGTGTGGTTCCTACTAGGGCTACTGCATCTGGTAACTCAAAATTGATGCCAATGCTTGCTTACTATTATTTAAGGACACAGAAGGTCAAAGGCATTACAAATGATGGTAAGGGCCAGAGAGACAGCACAGCGGGTAACATGCTTGTCTTGTATGCCACCAATCAGGGTTTAATGTCCAGCATCACTTATAGTACCCTAAGTCCTGCCAGGGAGTGATTCCTGAGTACAGCCAGGTGTGACCCAATGCCCTCCACATGCCAGAAAGAATTATGCAAAATCTTCCCTGCCTATACTCTATAAATCAAAAAGCAGTCTGGGCAACAGCCCTTCTAATTATAACATGGTGTGCTGGATATTTCAAACTCTCTCTTGAAACCAACCACAAGTGGTTGTGCAGTCACCTGTAGGACAGCTGGTGACCCCTTTCTGTAGGAGATGCTCTGAGAAGCAATGAGGACAATAAAAAGGACAGGGACAACTCTGGACAATTTTCCAGGGGCTATTTCATGCATCATCACAACACCAGGATGTTATCATCATAGATTAGGAAACGGGTGACTGAGGTGCCCGGTAATGGCACAGCTATACAGAAGCAAGGGTAATTTCACTCAGCATCCACACCTTTAATTCTATATATATATAATTTAATTATGTGTTTATACCAACACAGAATCCCAGGCAAGGCCTCAGCTCTTATAGGTGGCCCATCAATAGTTGTCCTCTTTACTTCGCTCTTTTCTAAACATACCTATGTTGAGATGTTGGTCTCTTTTCTTTAGAGCATATAAAAGGTCTCTGAAATCCACAAAGTCTAAAGATTTTTTTTAATTTATTTTTTATTTTTAGTGAAACACCATGAGGTACAGTTATAGATTTACAATTTTTTGTGCTTGGGTTTCGATTATACAATGATCAAATACCCACCCCTCCACCAGTGCCCATTTTCCACCACCATGGATAATATCCCTCCCACCCCCATCCCTCCCATCTCACCCTGCCTCTGTGGCAGGGCAATCCCATGTGTTCTCGCTCTCCTTTTGAGTGTTGTGGTCTGCAAAAGAGGCTTTGAGTGGCAAACATGTTCAGTCCAGAGTCTACTTTCAACATGCATCTCCCCTCCTGGGAGGATCCTCCAAACACTCTTTATTTGGTGCTCCCTTTTCTAACTGAGCTGCCCTTTCCCCTAGAATGCCTGCCTGGCCTCTAAGCTATGGAGTAATCCTCCTGGTGTTGATCTCAGCTCTTCTTGGGTATTAATCTCATATTTTGTTTCTTTATATTCCCCAGATGAATGCAATCCTTCTATGTCTATCCCTCTCTTTCTGACTCATTTCGCTTAGCATGATACTTTCCATGTTGTACCACTTGTATATAAATTTCATGACTTCATCTTTTCTAACAGCTACGTAGTACTCCATTGTGTAGATGTACCAAAGTTTCTTTAACCAGTCATCTGTTCTTGGGCATTCAGGTTTCTTCCAGGTTCTGGCTATTGTAAAGAGTGCTGCAATGAACAAACAAGTGCAGATATCACTTCGCAAAGTCTAAAGATTTTAATCAGTCTCAAGAAGAGCATTTTAAGAAAGCAGTTCACCAAGATAAACACAGAATCATTCAATTTGTCCAGTTAAAGGGCACACATCATTGTTCTTTCTTATATCCAGACTTGGGAAAACATCTTTGCCATCAGTTGTAGAACATTTTCCTGTCCTCAAAAGAAACCCTCTCTCTCCTAACCCCTGTGTCCCTTCCATGTTCCCCCTCAGTTCCTGACCACCACTGACCCGCTTCCTATCCCTGTGGCTTTATCCATTGAGGACTCACCAAAGTTCGAAAGATTGGAAAAAATTGCTCCGTGGCTTTTAGGTTTCTTTATGGAAATCAGCTTCCTGTGATAAGATAAAATTCACTTACCACAGGAAGTGAGCAGAAGCCTTGAGTTTCTGTAATAAAGACTTCCAAGGACAAGAGAATTTCTGTCTTCAAAGAGAGTGATGCCACTGCGGATCACCTCGGGTGAATCAGAGGATAAGGAAAGAGAAGATGAGTTGATCCAGGCGATGAGTATGGACATGGTCAGAGGCCTGTGGGATAGTGGCAGAGTGGAACACGGTTCAAGTGGTAAAAAGAAGGCAGCTCATGTACCAATGTGGAAAAATCTCTAGTTAGTTACTAAACAAAACGGGCGAAGGGAGGGGAGGGGAGAAAGTACAAATTGTGTATAGCATTTACCATTTGTATTTTTAAAACAATGGTAGGAGAGATAACATACATGCTCCTACATGCAAAACTCTCTAGAATGAGGCATCTAAATCTTGGGGAGGGAGGTGGTTCTTTTTTTGCTTCAGTGTCCCCAGGAGAACACCTCCTGGGAGGGGGGTGTCTATCTGGTCGACTCTGTCTACAGTGGCATTCCCTTCTAGTGCATGTGGGAGGCTGGGTGAGAAGGGAGAGAGAAGTTTCTAGGTGGGATGGGCGAGAGATGTTTCTCTGCCTCCTTTTCCATTTCTTCCAAGTTTAAAACATGTGAATGTATGTGTCCTGTTCAGAGAAACTTTAAAATAAAAACAAAGAAGCAATGAGGACTTGGGATCTGCTGGCTGGAGCCCTGGATCCCTTGCAGCTGCCCTGCCCAGTCTCCAGGTGGGGTTAGAGGTTGTGGGGTTGGGTTATCCAGACTGACATGCTCCTCCTCTTGGAAAACAACTGGGGCAGCATGGTCATCCCTGGTCTAGTGTTCACTACTCATCCTAACAGTGGTTGTGAGAGTTAGGTGAGCCAAGGAACTGTCCACTAGAGTCAAGAATCAATGGGATTTCCAGATGTGAACCTCCTTTCCACGACCATCATGTTGCAAATAATCCAGTGGGTACCAGATGCCAGTGAGATGCCCAGTAGTGAAATCACAAAGAATCTATCATTATCAACAGGCAGAGAGTGGATCCAAGGAATCCAACCTTGAGTTTTCACAGTCTCGGTACCACTGATTCTGGGGCCCATCACTCCTTGTTGTTACACATGGCCCCATGCTCAGGCGTGTCTTTGGCCTCTGCCTACTAGATATTTATGGGTTGCACCATCCTGATCCAGTTTCCACAACCAAAAGTGTCTCTGAACACGGACAAATGTCCCTTGAAGAACAAAATTCCCTCCCTCCTTCATCCTGCCATGCCAGGTGAGGCTGGCTGCCCCATGCCTGCATTTTCAGATGACCAAATGCCAGGGGCCCCCTTCACCTCCACTCCAGGTGAAGTTGGGCTTCACAGGATGTGGGTGGGGACTGTTTTTCCTCATTTCAGATGTGCTCATGAATCCTAACTTCTGGGATGATTTTTTCTTTTTTGAGGGGAGGGAGGAAGAGGAGGAGGAGGAGGAGGAGCAGAAGGAGGGGGAGAAGGAGGAGAAGAAAGAGGAGGAGGAAGAAGAGGAGGAGGAGAGGAGGAGGAGGAGGTGGAGGAAGAGGAGGAGGAGGAGGAGAAGGGGGGAGGAGGAGGAGGAGGAGGAGGAGGAGGAGGAAGAGGAAGAGGAAGAGGAAGAGGAAGAAGAAGAAGAAGAAGAAGAAGAAGAAGAAGAAGAAGAAGAAGAAGAAGAAGAAGAAGAAGAAACTATTAGATTTGTATATAATAATGATCTGTCCACCAGAATCTCACACACCTCAAAGGTCAGGGCCACAGCTAGGCAGCCCTGGGCAGGTGGCGAACCTGCCTTCTTACTGGAACCCCAAGGTGTGATGTTGTGATGGAGCCCAGGCTAGTGAATTTTTTTCGCCCAGGGATGTTCTTTTTTCTCCAGGTGAATCAGGAGTGAGGCACATGAAAGTGCATGTAGGGTCAGCTAGTAAGAGGGTGGACTGGGGGTCCCCTGTCCTCTTTCCTCTACAAACATAACTCCCAACAGACAGCTTTCTTTGGAGGGCAAAGAAAAAGGAACTGTATTACTCTGTTTTCATTCCTCTGGGGCTCATCCTCGAGGGCTCTGTGCAGTGAGTGAGCAGAATTTTCCGTGGCTAACTGTCCTGGCCACCCGGCCCTATCGGCTACGGCTTAGTGTTTATTTACTTTTGCTTGTGTTATTTTTATTTCAGTTCAGCTGCAGCTCAGTGCGGAAAGCGTGGGGGAGGTGTATATAAAGAGCACGGAGACTGGCCATTACTTGGCCATGGACACCGACGGGCTTTTATACGGCTCAGTAAGTATGAGGCTGACACGCTCCCAGACGCGGCCAAGGTTTGTGGTTTCCAGAAATCTTGTTACATTGAGTGATGCAAACTATAAAGCAACAATTAGTCTCTGTTTGTTTTTTTTTTTTCCAAGTAGGGTTTCCACCCTCTCCCCTGTCTTATTGTAGGCCCAAACATCAAAGAATTTCTTGTGGTATTGTCTCAAAATACTCAAATGTATTATCATGCGAGCGTAGGGGAGGCATTGATTGAAGTGTCAGTAACTTGTGGGTCACTTGTTTCAGAATACCTAATCCTATCTGGGCTGGAGAGACAGTACTAGTACTTAGTACAGCGGGCAAGGCATTTGCTTTGCAAACAACCCGGGTTCGATTCCTGGCATCCGGCCCACCAGGAGTGATTCCCTGAGTATAGAGCCAGGAGTAATTCCTGAGCACTCTCGGGTGTGCCCCCCCCCCAAAAAAAAACAAACACACAAATTACAGGACCCAGGCTCCAACAATTTATATGCTAAACTGCAAAAACAGGTTTTTGTTTTTGTTGTTATTGCTGCTGTTGTTTTGGAAGGGTCACCTAAAAGTCTAAAAGTTTAACACACATTTATCAAGTGCCTTCTGTATCTAACTGCTGTTAAGTCTACAAACGATGTAAGGATGAATGAACTGGGTCCTTGCCTCATAAAACACCATCTAAGAGACAACGGTTGTTAACTTTTTTTTTTTGCTTTTTGGGTCACAACCATCGATACACAGGGGTTACTCTTGGTTCTGCACTCAGGAGTTACTCCTGGCAGTGCTCAGAGGAACATATGGGGTGCTGGGAATCGAACCCGGGTCAGCCGCATCAAGGCAAATGCCCTATACCCGCTGTGCTATCTCTCCAGCCCCAGTTGTTAACTTTTTTTCACCTAAGGGCTGGTACTAGTTCTGACTAGCCATTGAAAATCACTGTCAATTCTGAGGCAAGGACCTTTTTGGAGGACAGCTGAGTTACTTCCGCAGATGGGTGACAGTCTGTGAACTGACCATTGAAATTACTGGTCTAAGAGTTGATTCAGGGGCTAAATCCCTTTACCTCTCCGATTCCTTTCCTCTCCTAGCTTTGTTTAATTTTCATTCCATTTATACTGATCTTTGCAAGAAAAGGCCAAAAGTAAAGGCAATATGATTTTGCCCAAAACAGTATCTCTGCTGGAAAGAGAATTGAAGTCAGTAGCCTCATTTGGAAATTATTCTAGATTTCAATGATAGTCTATGTAATTCCTAGCCCAGGCCCAAACCCTTTGTTCTCTTTTAAGCAGCTGTTTCAAAAAAGAAAAACAGTAGGAGATATGCTAGTCTGGGCTTCTTTTGCCAATGTCAAATGACCAACTGAGAGCAGCACAAGAAATCCTCTCTCAAAACCAGGCTCAGTCACGGTTCAGGGTATGAACAAAATTCAGTTTTTCATGGAACTCACTAGTGGTCTGGAGATAAGAGCCTCAAATGGTAGGTTGATTGCTGGAATCTAGATTGATAAAACATCACTGAAAATTTTGGATACAGGCCAATGGCTATCATTGGTGAGTAGTTTATTGTTGGTGTTTTTTTGTTTGTTTGTTTCTTGTTTTTTTTTGGGGGGGGTCACACCTTGTAACACTGGACTTACTGCTAGCTCTGTGCTCAGGGGTCATTCCTGGTGGTGCTCAGGGCACTATATATGGGACTGGGGAATCAAACCAGGGTCTGCCCCATGCAGGGCAAGTGTCTTACCTCCCATACTACCTCTCCAGTCCTTCTTGCTGTTGTTGTTTTTGCCTTAAGTTGTTTCATAGTGGGAGTAGATTTTTTTCAGTGTTTTTTCCAATTGCTACTAATCAATCATTCAATCTCAGATTCATAATGGAATCCTCTGGCATTCTTCTGCCACTTTGGCAAGTGACTCGCCCACTTTAATCTTTGTCTAAAATGAGAAACTAGAGAGTCATCATCTCTGGGGTTTAGGAGTATTATGGAACTGCCTACCAGCAAGCCTAGTATATGGGAGGAGCTAAAAATCCATTTAGAAGCCCCTTCCCCTCATTATTTCTTAGGTTCTATGTTACAGTTCATGAACCCCCACAAAAGTCTTACAAATGCGTAATCATAATTTTTGCTTGTATAAAAAATATCAAAGAAGAACCTATTGCTCAAATCCAATGTCCTTTAAGTTTCAAATTTTCTCTTCCCCCACCAGAATAGTGGTGTTACTATAATTCTCATGAATTATTCAGAGGGTGATCTTCATATATTTTGCCTCACGACTCTTCTGCTTCCCCACTGGTGACAAGAGATTTTACAATACCTCAGAGTTCTGCTCATATTCCTAACCAATTTGAAATAAGAATCCATTCTGATTCAAAGTGTGCATGTGTGTACATGTGTGTATGCATGTATGTGTGTGTGCACATGAAAGATACATTTATATTTAAGAGAATACTTTTGAAAGACTCCATACCAAGATATTGCTGTATTTGTGTCTGGGGTGATGAGGGGATGCTCACACACTATGCAAACTCCTTATTTCATTTTCCCAAACTTTCTAACATGGTATATGACACCCTGGGGGAAGGTATGCTAAGTATAAACATACAAATACTTAAAACAATAGGCATGAATCAATGGTTAATCTCTGTGCCCTTGGCATTGTGACAAGTGCAGAACAAGTGCTGACAAATCATGGTTTGGGGAGGACCTGGCCTGCTGATTCAACCTGTGACTCAGCATTTGCGTGTGTGTCAATTTGTCTAACATAATACAGACAGCAGAAAGGGGATGTAACCATCCTCAGCATCATATATCGCAGGCTCGACACCCACTAAGGAGCTTCCCAGGGTGAGCCCAGGGACTGGGCATCCCACTCATGTTCCAAACTGGCTACCACATCCCCCGCGAACTTGAACAATGTGCATGAGACACCAATGTCTAGACTAAGTTCCGTGAGGGGGACAGAGCTCCCCCAGATACATAACCTATCTGTGGTCTATCCAGGACTACAGTGACACAAAGTCTCACCCAGCTGCATATGAGACGACAGAGAAACAAGAAGTAGGAAACTCCACATGGCATAGGTCCCAACTGATCAAAGATCACTTTATTGAGGGCTTATCTCCAGAATCAAATTAAATTTGCCACCTATTCTTTGAAAGGGCCGTTTCTAGGGGATTAACACAGGCCGACAAGATTCCATTCTTTTTCCTCAGCAGGACTTAGACATGAAAGGGCCAAGTCAGCCCACAAAGAGAGAACAATGAAAGACATGACCGGAGCTACCAGGAAGGGCTCACTCATCACTGGTGGTCGAGAGGTGACAGGCAGGTCACGTCACCTGGAACTGGAGCAAAGTCAACACATAGCAGTGTGATTCTTTAGTACTTTGCATGTTTCACATCCAAATATTTGTAAAGAATTCTAAAATCTTGATGGAAATTTCAAACAACTTGGATTCTTCCAATTCTTTAACAGAGAAATAACAAGTTAAAGTAGAAGTGTATGGTAAATAATTTTCAGGTAACTGTACTTTGCAGTTTAGTGCATTAACGGCTGCATCGGACTGCTGTGTAGATGCACCACAATCCACATGGCCAGTCTCCTGTCCAAGGACAATCAGAGTACTTTTAATCGATTGCATTGATATCCAACCCTTAAATATTATCCTTGAAAACTGGTGTACGCTTGCTCAATTGTTTCCTAAGGAAGACTTCCTAGGAAAATTAAGTGACTGGGTCGAGGAAAGGCACACCTGACACGTCGCCAAATGACTCTCTGAAAGTTTGACCAGTGTATCTTATAAGTGGGGTATGAAGGGACATATTTCCCACAATCCTACTAAAAGGGAAGACTTTTAAATGTTTCTGCCTCTCTGAAGATATAGCCAACATTTATTAAATCATGTGTATTGTGTGCTTCTTGCCAGTGAGTTTGTGTATATTTCCTGCATTTATTGCCCATTTTCGTTGATCATGGCCATTCCCAGCAGAGAATGGGCCATGCTGACTGTGGTATGCAGGACAGTGGTGCCAAGGGGTTCCCCAGGCTGCATTCAGCAGTCCTTGGAGGACTGGGGGATCAAACTCAGCCCTCTATCTACCACTCAAGCTATTTCTTTAGCCCCTATGATCCCCTCACCCCATGTTTTGTTGTTTTGGGGACATACTGGTGGGGATCAAGGTTGACTCCTGACCCTGCACCCAAGGATTACTTCTGGCAGGATTAGGGAGACCATATGTGATGCAGGGATCAAACCTGTGTTGGCAGATGGATAGCAGATGGAAGGGAAGCTTACAAGGGCAGGAAATACTCACTGGCAGTTTCTTAGAACCACCTAATTTAGACACAAGTTTCATTTCTACACCAAATTCCTGAAAAACAAATGGGAGACAGGGACAGCCCGGTTGCTTGACCATGGTCCCATAGCTAGCAGACAGAGAGGCTCTACTTAAAACCACTCACTGAAGGGCTGGTACAGCAGGGACGGCACTAGCTTTCTTATGGATGACATGGGTTCAATCCCTGGCACCCCATATTGTCCCCCTGAGCTCCTCAACAAGTTCTGATCCCTGAGCACAGAGCCAGGAGTAAGCCCTGAGCACCAACAAAACAAACAGACTAAACACCTCACTGTTTGGGCTTTATCTTTTCAGCAAACACCAAATGAGGAATGTCTGTTTCTGGAAAGGCTGGAGGAAAACCATTACAACACCTACACCTCCAAGAAGCATGCCGAGAAGAATTGGTTTGTTGGTCTCAAGAAGAACGGAAGCTGCAAGCGTGGTCCCCGGACTCACTACGGCCAGAAAGCGATCTTGTTTCTCCCCCTGCCTGTCTCCTCTGACTAGAGAGATGCACTCTGGGTGCTGAGCGCTCCACAGCTGACCCCAGATCGTTCCCTTGACCATTGGCTGCGCTCACCCCTGGCCCCCCCGAGCCTGAGCCTGTCAGCGATGCCCTTCTCCATGCCCAGTACCCTCCTTTGGCAGTGCCCTTTACCCCAGCACAGTTTGGGATGAAGGGAACAAATTGCTTCCAGGGGCCAACTGGCTGGCCACGGTGGGTCTTGTTTGAATGTCCAGTTGCCTCTGGGCACCTGCAGGCTGAGCCTTTTCATGCCTCGATGGGGCCATTTGAGATGTGGGAAGGGGTCTGCCAAGTGGGCCATTAGTAACCATGTCCAGTCCCTCTGCTGAGTAAACCCTGCCTGTGACTTTCCCCCCAACATCTGCCTGACTCCCTTGGTCCTTGCAAAACCCCACAAATATTGGCAGAGAAGCTTATAGTTAGGCAAGAAGGTGGTGGTGTTCCACGGATAGAAACAGAAATCTCCCCTTGACACAAAAGAGATTAAGCACCAAGGGAGATGAAATTTGGGGTGGTGAGCTTAGAACAAAGGGAATTCGAATTTCCCAAATGGGATAAGTTGGGTGGGGAGACTTTAGCCCTGGGGAAAGCAGCAGAAATATGTAGCTCTGTGGGTCCTTGAAACCTGAACTCAGTTACTTTGGGCAATTGGAAGTCCCTGGAGGGAGTCAGGTAGAGAGAGAGTGAAGCCAGTTTCTGTGAAAGTGAAGGCTCTTGGGACTGATACATTCATCCAGGGCCAGGGAGTGTGTGAGAGTGAAGAGGAAGAAGGAATGACTCGGGCAGCAAGGATATACATTCTCAGACGTGTAAAGGGAAAAGTCTAGGATGCCATGACTTTTGTGGCCCCAACAGGAAGCCCAGGGTTAGGGTACAGTTCAGCACTCCTGGGACATTCAGGATATCCTGTTTGGGAGGGGTAGAGGCCCCCTTGATGGGTCTGGATAAAGTTCTGCCATTTCTCAAAAGCTCCTAGGTGCCATCCATGTGGCTTCCTTCCTGCCCCCGAGTCTCAGAGCCAGGTACAGTAGAACTGGGGCGCAAATGATGGTGACTCAAACCCATCCCACTCCCGACTGTCTGATGGCCTCCCCGCACACCCCCAGGCAGCATCCACAGCACCCCCGCCTGCATTAAGAAGCATGGATGCAAGGCGCTTTGGCCCAAGGCCTATGCAATGCCCATTAAAAGATCCACAAAGGCATACTGCAGAAACCATTCAACCCTCACACACAGGTTTCCCCGGGGACCTTGTGTGTTATGATTACTTGTATAAATATGTTTCCTGCTTAAAGTAAACTTGACCCAAGTGGCTAGCAAATTAGAAACACCATTCATCTCTGACATATGATATTGCTGCCATGCAAAGGCCTTTAATAAGCCATTGAAATTTACTGTGAGACTGTTTTTAATCACATTTTAAAAAATATAGTTCAGAGGCGGTTACACTGATTAGCATTCAGCCATTAAGAATTATAAAAGTAGTATGGGGCCAGAATGATAGTACAGTGGGTGTATGCCTTGCACAGAGCTAGGGTTCAATCCCCAGCATCCATATGGTCCCCTGAGCACCGCCAGGAGTAATTCCTGAGTACAGAGCCAGGAGTAACCCCTGAGCACAGCCAAGTGTGGCCAAAAAACAAAAAACAAAGAAAAAAGAATTACAAAATTAGATATGATATGTAAGCTATTCAATTATCTACTACTTGCACTACATTTACCTATAAAATGAGATTTTTTTCTTCCACTGTATTGTAACACATTGTCTTTTGGAAATGGAGACTCTTATATACAACAATATGATCATTGTGGATAAAAACTTATGAGAATGTTAGCTCATGTTTTGTGAGGAATTGAACTAATCATTAGTTAAAAAAAAATTCCTTAGCAATGGACCTGTCATATTTAGAATGGAAGAACAATCACAATTTATGAAAGTTCAAAGTGACAGTGCAATTAAAGAACTGAGCAAAGTTAAAATTATGGTTAATAACACCGTCCTGCATTTGTACAACATAATGATTTCAGAACTTTGGTTTTGTACCTTGGACGAAATTATTCTGTTTTATTTTAGTACATCTTTGCAAGCAAGTTGGGGCTAGCACAGTGTAACTTAACAGCTCTTTACTATGAAGATTTGGCCAGAAAAAAAAGGTACCCAGAGAGGAAATCCAAGATATTAATAATGATCTGTAATTTCTAGCATCTGAATCAAATTCAAGTATAACATTGGCCAAGAAAAATGAAATCCTGTTGCTAACAGATGAAACAGAACTCTGTGGTTTAAGAAACCCAAAACACTGTAGAAGAAACAGTGCTGTAACTTCTACAAGCCATGCCAGTCTTCTTTGGTAGGTTTGTTGGATGTATTTAAGTGCCTACTGTGTACTGGGCACTGGATGGAGTACTAGGGTCTCTGGGAACCTGTCTCTCTGGTCTGCTGCTGTATTCTCTCCCAGGGCATTATATTTATGACTGTAGATTCATTTCTTTCAACCCAGTATAAACATAGACTTTATTGGTTCCTTCAGAATAAACACCAAGTCTCAGAAATCCAGGTTTTGGAAGAATCAGCAACCCCCAAAGTGTTAGATAAATTTCTACCAAAGTGGCAGAGCACAAAGGGAGACAAAATCCAACATTTTCAATGATGGAACAGGGTTGGCTTTGGGGGAACTGTTTTCAACATAGGGATAGAGAGTCTGTCAGCTCCTGTACGAAGGAAGTAGCTGGCAGTTCTATGCTCTATTTTGAATATGCACCAGTTCCTCAAACACAGAACATTCCCAATGTCTCTGTCTCTCTCTTGCCTGAGTAAAGCCTGTGGCCATCTGCCTGTCACATGGCTGCTGTGGAGACTGATTATCAAGCCAATTCTTATGAGCAAACTGACTTTGTGTACAAAGTACCAAGAGCGTGCCTGTCTTTGACTGTTCCCAATGCGGTGATGGAGGTGGTGGTGACGTTTCCTTGGAAGGGTTGATAATAAGAGCCTCCCATGGCCAACAGTGTGTACTTAGAAAAATCTGACTGGCGCCTCATGTGTTACTGAAGATCAAGTGTCCTGCCTTGTAGAGGAGGTGATAGAGTCCAAGTCCTCAGCTGTGTAGAACCCTCTGGCAGAGTGAACCGTGCTCCCGGGATACAATGCCGATCTCTGGTGAAGATGCCTGTCGTTTCATATCACACACGCCCCCTCCATTTCTTTTGCACCCTACAAGTATTAATAAACATTCTAGTATGTGAGACTTTCTCATAGGTGTCTCTGAGTCTCTGGCAATTGTGCTATCTCACCTTGCCGTGGAAGAACTTTCCCTGGCACCCTTGGGCTGTGGCTTCTTGGTTTTCTATACTAAGCTGTGTCCCATATAAGGCAAAGCTAACACAGAAATATTTCTCATTTTGTTTCGGAAACCTAAGGCAACAATGCAACATTGGCACTTATCTAGGGTCCATTAGAAAACTATATTTATAAAGTTCATTCCCTAAAGAAACATGCCTATGGTCAGTGGAATAGCTCTATTGATTTCTGTTCTTCAGACTGTAGATGATATGAAATTTTGCTACCAGTATAGAGTTGGCCAAACTAGATGCATATAAAGAAACTACAATAAAACAACAACAACAACAACAACAACAAAAAACAACCATGAGGACTCACAATTCTAACTCCAAGGCAAGAGGTGTGTATCCTACATCTCAAGTGCCTTGATATGTGGCCACAGGTCAGATTTCTGGAAGTTGTTACTACTGTATGAATCTTATGACTAAATCTTTTGGCTTAATCTATTTCTGAAGTGCATCACTTCTTATTCTCAGGACAAAATCTACCACGGTAGCAGAACTGGGTCACTCACTCATGCACACACTCACATAAGCCCAAGAACCACTGACAGAAAACAATGAGGTTAAAAAGAAAGAAAGAAAGAAAGAAAGAAAGAAAGAAAGAAAGAAAGAAAGAAAGAGAAAAAAAGAAAGAAAGGAAAGAAAGAAAGAGAAAACAATGAGGTAATATTTGTTGACTTGTCCAGTTACATACCACCCACAATTCCCACTTTCTGATCAAAGTTGCCTGAAGCGATATTTTTCTCCTTTCACTGGAGCTTGCACCACTGTAAGAACTACAGATTCTACTACAACCTGGTACACACAATTGTTAGCTCCTGTAAGAAAGAAGTAATATTTATACTACTATTTATGGCTCTAGCCCTAGCATATATACACCTTTATATGTATAGCACTGTGGCACTGTCCTCCTGGTGTTCATCAATTTGCTTGAGTGGGCACCAGTAATGTCTCCATTGTGAGACTTGTTGTTACTGTTTTGGTATATTGAATACACCATGGGGAGCTTGCCAGGATCTGCAGTGCAGGTGGGATACCTTCAGTAGCTTACTGGGATCTCCAAGAGGGACGGAGGAATCAAACCTGGGTTGGCCACATGCAAGGCAAAGACCCTACCTGCTGTGCTATAGCTCTAGCCCACCTTTATATCTATAGGCAAAGGAAACAAAAATATGTCACCAGAACTCCATGTTTGAGGTACACTACAGCTTTTGGGTCATGTTCCAAATGATGACTCAAAAATGCTTGTTCCCAGACCAGTGAAATTGGTTATGATCTGGACCCAGCCCTTGCATGGCAACAGGGGCAGTTTGAAGAACACCTGTGGAGTCATTGTTCTCCCCCAAAGACAACAACACCCAATTGGGACCCTGTGCCACAATTAAATTTTTGTTCTTAAGTGTGAACACACTTCGGTTCTTGAACAAACAAGGAAAGGGAACATCCAACTACCCAGGAGTCATCTGTTTTGAGGGCTTGAGGAATTCATTGCATTGGTCTGTGTTTAATCATGTGAAGGAATGGATGGAACTGACCTCACAGGCCCCATTGCTGCTATCACTTCTGGTCTCTGCCTGATTCTGTTCAAGAACTGGATACACTGTCCCTTCCCCTCCAATGTACTTCTCAGCATCTTATTCTTTTGTGGTGGGGGACACAGTGATGCCCAGTGGTTCCTCCTGGCTCTGTACTAGGGAACTACTCCTGGCAGTGCCTCGGGGACCTGGCAAATGAGATACTGGGATCAAACCCATGCAAGGCAAATGCCTGCTCTGCTGTGCTATGGTTCCAGTCCCAGCAAATTGACTCTTGAGATGAATCATTCACTCTCACCATATTTATTTTAGTCCTTGCTCTTGCCCCCAACACTTTTAATTTCACAATTTCTTTTATTCGCTTTTTTCCAGGCTGGAGTGATAGCACAGCTGGTAGGGAATTTGCCTTGCATGCGGCCAACCAGGCTGACCCAGGTTTGATTCCTCCATCCCTCTCGGAGAGCCCAGCAAGCTACCGAAAGTATCTCGCCTGCACAGCAAAGCCTGGCAAGCTACCCGTGACATATTCGATATGCAAAACACAGTAACAAGTGTCACAATGGAGATGTTTCTGGGCCCACTCAAGCAAATCGATGAACAACAGGAGAACAGTGACAGTGACAGTGACAGTGACATATTATTGGGGGCAAGGAGGGGGGTGGGCGGCTACACCCAGTGGTGCTTCTGATGTTTCTCTTGATTCAGCACTCAGAAGACTGAACCTGGGTTGGTTGCATGCAAGGCAATAACCTTACCTACTGTCCTATCACTCCTGCCCCATAATTTCACAATAATTTTGGGAAAAAAAGCAGGCAATATTGACAAAAGCAAGAAACATCTAGAAACCCAGGTCCTTTGAGTATCCCACCTCCAGTACCAGTATCATTTTCTGAAAATCACCAACCTCACTTTAAAAAATAATAAGTTTACCATTCATATCTCTGTCTAACAAATGTCACTGCTACTGAAATATATTTATTGGAGATTTTTAAATGTCCATCTTTGCTGAACCAACTGAAAAACACAGCTCTACACCCTAAATCTGGAGGAGTTTAAGGTGACTGAGAATTAGCCTCTAATAGGCAAACTGGACATCAAAGGGGAAAATACCAATGAAATGGTGGCTTCTCTTGTTTATCTGAACGACGTCCTGTCTGCCATGGGGCAGGTTGATGGGGGTTATCTCCAACTCTATGCAATTCGGGTATGGCACATTGTTGTGATATTAATGAGTATGGTAGTACCAACACATCAAACCAAGATATGTCTTCAACTGCACACCCCCAAATATTAATGATAATGGTTTTAAAGAACAGCAGTGCAATGGAGAAATAGTTAAGCCCAACCAAGAGATGAAACTTGTATGTTTTCTATTTCAAAACTGTTTGGGATGATTTGCTTGACAATCATTACAATAAAAAATTGATGGTTGTAAAAAGGCAAAAGCCCCACATTCCTGTCCATGCCCCCTAGAAAGAAACTCCCTTCACTATTATTATTATTATTTTACATAAAATGCACTATAAAATCCTGAGAACCTGAACAGAGACACTCTGGACCCCACAAAGTCACTGAATGTTTTCTTGTTCTAAGAGTTACATGTTCAATGCTTATTAAGATATTTCTGTCACCTTGCACCAAAACCAATGTTTTTTAATTTTTTTTTTTATTTTATAAAGTGCAATGGGCTGGAGTGATAGCACAGCAAGTAGGGCTTTTGCCTTGCACGCAGTCGACCGGACCGATCCGATTTTGATTCTTCCACCCCTCTCGGAGAGCCCGGCAAGCTACCAAGAGTATCTCACCCGCACAACAAAGCCTGGCAAGCTACCCATGACGTATTCAATATGCCAACCACAGTAACAACAAGTCTCACAATGGAGACGTTACTGGGCCTGCTTAAGCAAATCGATGAACAATGGGAGGACAGTGACAGTGACAGTGAAAGTGTGATAGCACAGAGGGTAGGGCGTTTTCCTTGCACACTGCCGACCCAGGTTCGATTCCTCTGCCCCTCTCAGAGAACCTGGCAAGCTACGGAGAATATCTTGCCTGCACAGCAAAGCTGGCTACCTGTGACGTATTCGATATGCCAAACACAGTAACAGCAAGTCTCACAATGGAGATATTACTGGGCCCGCTCGAGCAAATTGATGAACAACGGGAGGACAGTGCAACAGTGCAATAAAGTAGTTCATAATATTTTATTACATTTAATATTCAAACACCAATCCCACCACCATTATACCTCCCCACTACCATATTTCGAATGTTTACATCCATAACCCCATTCTCTGACCCAAAGCAGAACCAAAATAATATATTCTGTATTTTTTATTGTGAAAAACCACTGAAAATGCTACAAAAAAGTACCCTTAGAGGAAAGAGTGTGAAGATTGTTGTATTTCACCCAGGGGCCATTAAGCTCTTCTATAAGAGATTCACTAACATGTTATTAAAGGTGAGTCTTGTGTGCTTTTATATATGTATCTGTAAAAAAAAATTTCCCTCTAAGATTGGTTACCCCCTACTTTGAACCCCATCAAATGGGGTGTGGTACTCTTGAAGCATGGGTAGGGTGTGTGGTGTGAAGTTTGCAGCCACATGGTCCAGGAATAGATTCACTCATGGGTGAGACTCAGCCTGAGCATATGGAGAGTGGCCATGACCATGGCGATGGTTGAGTTCTGGAGACAAAACCAATATTTTTTAAGGTACCAGGTCACATATAACCAGAAACAAAATGGAGGGTTTGCTTTATATAATGCATATAGGATAGGATCTAGTTTTGGGGTCTTTGGGAGGATCTGAGAATGTTTGGGGGTGGGGGTGTGTCCAGTGTTTTCCTTCCCTCTTAGCTTCCCACTGTCACACAGGCTAAATTTACACAGTGAGAAGCTAAATGCTGGCACCTATTACATAAATGCCCAAACCTCCTCATATCCTTGATTTCTTTTCCCTAGGCCTTAACAAAGGGTTGAGCATGTCCTATTTGAAACTGTGTTCAATTTCAGGATTTGGTTTACTTGGTTGAAGTGTTTGGGGGGTGGGGGGTGCTAGATATAGAAAGGCAATTTGGGTAACTTTTCACTGAAACACATTTCATGATGATTTCAAAATTTCATGGTTTGCTCCCTTTGGGGGGAAATCTATGTTTAAGTCTGACCCAGAGATCCAGAAGAGCAGGACACTGGGCTATTTGACCCTCTCTAGAGTGTTCTGGAAGGTTCCCATGTTTCCCACCAGGAGTCAGTAAGACTGCAGGAAGCACTTGCTGGAGTGCAAAAACGCTCCTATGTGTGTGTGTGGGGGGAGGGGGTGGGGGGGGGTCTATGTATCACCAGGGCCCGGCAGGTGCTGCCCTGGCCTCTGAGACATCAGAGCAAAGGAAAAGCAGAGCAAGTCCCAGAGAACAGTCCCTTCCACTTGCAATGTCCCTCCAGTGCCCTCTGCTGACAGACCTTAGAGTGCAGGGTGCATCAGCTGGCAAAGAAGAAAGGCATGGGGGGGTGGGGGGGGGGGCTCCAACATCACAAAGCAAAGCAAAAAGGAATGTATTTGGAACAGAGAAGCAATGAACTGAGATAAGAAATAATCAGGATTTAGATACTCTGTTATGCACAGTATTAAAAGATGAATAAATGCGGTCCTTTCCCTTAAAAAGATTACAGAACTGCAGGAAGTGGCAATTGACTTGTTCTATTCACTTTTAAGAAATGCCACTTCCTTTTTAAGATTTCTGAATTTCTATGAAGACTACCATGATCTCAGAGGTCAGAGATGTATTACAGTAGGTAGGGTGCTCACCTTGCATGTGGCCGACCCAGGTTTGATCCCCAGCATCACATATGGTCTCCTGTTGAACCTGTCCTGTCCTCCTGTTGTTCATCAATTTGCTCGAGCGAGCCCAGTAATGTCTCTGTTGTGAGACTTGTTACTGTGTTTGGCATATTGAATACGTCACGAGTAGCTTGTCAGGCTTTGCTGCGCAGGCGGGATACTCTCGGTAGCTTGCCAGGCTCTCTGAGGAGGCGGAGGAATTGAACCTGGCTTGGCCCGGGCTAGTCACATGCAAGGCAAATGCCCTACTGCTGTGCTATCGCTCCAGCCCTGTTGAACCATCAGGAGTAATTCCTGAATGCA